ATATCCAGCACTTTAATTGAGTTGATGGATAAGGAATATCCGTCTGAGGGAATTGGAAAACACTGATTCCAAATCAATGGTACACATCAACTCTAGGATCCTGAGGAAAAAAATGGCGTATGAGCTTATTGTTGTACACCGACTATCATGAGACTGTATCTCCACATGTTGCTCCAATGCCTTGTGGATCAGACCTTTAGGTGTGGTCCCCTGAGAAAATCACCTGCTCCGGTTTGGGTACCAGGGCATTATCAAAGCCCACGCATAAACCAAGTGATTTGAGTGGAGCATATGTCTTCGGTGCCCTTTTGTACCAATGTTTATATATTCAAATAAATAAGTTAAACAACATCTTTCGTTCACATGTCGATTTTATACTTTACACTGATCCCAGTTCTTATGTAAACAAACCATACTGATCTACTTTCATTGAAGAAAAATGTCCTTCATAATTTAATTAATAATCACGGTTAGTTAAACTTTATTTTAATGAGCTGACATAGATTGATATACCAATGAAATATTTTAAAAATTGAGTTAAGGCTAAGGGATGGGTTCAATATTCATCCATTTTCACTATTTAAAGAGAGTTATTGTTCGTTTACCACGAAATAAATCGATAATTTTCAAAATTGAATTCATGAGTCGATCTAAGCTAGACCACCAATGGAAACCTGAGAACACTGGATGGCCGTTTCATCCTAGTATGGGACTCCTCGGTAGTGCAACCTCGGTCTCATCCAACTTCTAGACCATTTAGCAGGCATCCAACGGTGTTAATATGTAACTCCAGTCGATCTATGATATTGGGAAACCCTTCATCAATTGTCTGAAGTGGATAACTGTCTCATAACTGACACGGATTTGACTCCAATGGGCACGACGTTTCACTGGAACTTCAGGAATTTCATCTTGAAGTTAGTCACTAGTGAGAACATGTTTATTATCAGTGTAGGAATTTGTGAAGTATGTAGTATTTCAATAGTTGAATTCACGAGCCGACTGAGTGGTCTGGAGGTTAAGTCTTCGTGTTCAAGGCTGAAGGTCCTGGGTCCGAGAATCGCACGCGCGGACATGGACATGAACTGCTGAGAAGCCCATATTAGGAAGAAACAGTCATCCAGTGCTTCAAGGTCTTCAATGGTAGTCTAACTTAAATCGACTCGTGAATTCAGCCTTGCAAGTACTATTTCAGTTAAAATGAATGTGTAACAAACTTTACTAGTTATTTCTCTCAATGGTCTACTTAACACAGTCAATCAGCTACATACATTTTGATTTGATAATTAACAATACAGGTTTTACCTCAGTGATTTTTAAAATTACCGTGATTTTACAGTTCTGAAAAGCCATCATCAGTGGAGCTAATCTGTATCAGATGGACACAGGCATCTACCTCAGACAATGGAGGATGGTCACGCGATTTCGTGAACTAGTTGAAGCTCAATATTACAACCGCTGAATACTGGCTCAGTGGTCTAGGGGTTAAGCATTCGCGCACGAGACTGGGTGTATTGGGCTCGAGTCCCGCGTGCGTAGTCTTAGATGTTAACTGCTGGGGAATCCCATATTAGAACAAAATGGCAGTCCATTGCTCACAGGTTTTCAACGATGGCCTAACATTGATCGATTCATGATCTCAATCATAAATTATTGATATTTTTTAATAGTGAAATCAAAGATCAGTAATTTTCAACAGGAACTATAATATTAGATGTTATTCAATGAATAAGAAGTACACTTAACTTAATCATACAAGAGCTTCATTCTGATCTGAATGACTAATTCAACCCTAGTCGATATTGATCATAAGACTAATCATGTTTTTTTCAATTCTTTTGTTAATTCAATTAGTTTCTGTTTCCTTTTATGTTCTGCTGGTTGGTATTCCATTTCCGATTACTGATACATACTACTTATATCGGTCAACATAAATAGCATATGCCATAAGTGATCGTCACAAAATGATTGAAGCTGAAAATATAAACTACTAGTTTCTGACAAGTTGATCATTTCAAGAACTGAACATACTGGCCTCGATTCTTGGTTCTACACTGATTAGCAACTATAAAACAAGATGAAATAACTATCCAATATTTTCATAGATGAATGTGTGAGTCAAATGAGGCTAGACCACCATGGAAAACTCGGAAGCACTAGACGGCCGTTTCGTCTTATTGTGAGACTCCTCAGTGGCAGTGCGTGTTCACGACCTCGCCTCACGAGATTCGAACCCAGGACTTACCAATCTAATCTTTCTTAATCAAGTGAATTCGGTTATTAATGTTGTTGCTTCTTTTTGTGTGTGTGTTAAATAGTTGATTAAACTCTAGAACAATCCTTTTTACGCTTAAATGAGGGTTTTAATTAGATGCATTATGTAGACAGGAAGAAGAAAAGAAAAGAGTAAATTAGGTCAGTTTTTCGAATATTTTTTTGGGTTAACATCTCTTCAATCATATTTGGATATATATATACAGAAGATAATAATTAGGTTAGTTGACTTGATGTTATGCAAATTATGTTGTGGGTAGATGAATAACTTCAATGATTAGATGTGTTAATCATGTATACATAAAGATGATTGAAAAGGAAGATTCAATGCTGAATACCAGTTTAGGTGATCGGTAATCTTCGAGAAAGTGATTGTCTTTTTTGGAGATTTGAAGATATCTTATCTAGCGGCAGAGTCATAGATACAAAGGTGTACCTGAAATATTGGGAGGGGGAGTTCGAAGCTTTAACTCCGCTTCACATTCTGAAATGTTAGCTTTAAGGTTTTTAGACTCTCAGAGTTGATCGATGGTATTCAATCACCTTTAAAGACTAGAAAAGCATGATATCAGTCTCTACTTATTGATCAGTCACTTTGTTTACTGGCCACGGTAGTCAGCAGCCTATGCTTCATTGAGAGTAACAGATGTAAGTAAACCAACTAGGATGAAACATAAGTATGGAACTATCTCATTAAATAATATACAATAACTTAGAAATATGAGTGAAATTCATTGTTACATTGGTATCTAATGTAGTACAAAGATAAACCTAGAAAGTATATAATTTACTGATATATGATAGTGAAACTAAAGTACGATTGGTCACTAAGTGTGCACAACCAGGCACTTAGCCTATTGATTATTAAATATGTCGTAATTCATTTATGTATTGTTTGTCCGGGACAACAATTTATTATTCTTTTATTAGCATATGTGCACAAGCTGGTGACCATCTGAACTCAGTAGCTAAGTGGATAATGCGCTTGCGGTTGAAACGAACGGTACGGGGTTTGAGTCTTGGAGTGAACATCAACTCTAGGATGAAGATTTATTTAGCTTACTAGTCCCAAATAGGACGAAACGCACGTCTTGGATCCCACTGCTAGTCATTATCCGTCTCTGATTGAAGTTGGAAACCTGAAGATTAATAAAGAGAGAGAAATAGGGTTTGAGGGGAAACTTAATAGCTGCTGATAAAATGCTGTTGATCGTAGCTTTAAATCTATTCATTAGTTCATAGTAATGATAAAGTTAATTGGTAAGAGCAACGATTCTAGTAGGATAACATGAATTCATTTTCATTCTTTTGGTTCTTGTCAGCTACTTACAATCTGTGATATTTAAAACCTAATTACCAAATGGGTTCAAATTACTTACATGAAAGAGTTTAGTTAAAAATTATGTTGAAGACACATCAGTATCATATAGCAAGGGTGTACATAAATTGAACAGACCGAATATTGTAAATATCTACCTTATGCAGCAATCACAATCAGAAGGAAACTTAACATTGCATTAACGGGAACTTACCCGGCAACTAAACTGTTAATTCTGTATAAAACAATATGTTCAATAACACGACCAATGATCGACAAACACACCTTTCATATTACCATCAACTGTGTTTATAAGTTTAAGTGTACCTGTCAAAGCAGTTACATTGATCGAACATAAAGGACAGAATATCTTAGATATTTTGAGTATGTTCCAAAAAACCTTAGAATAAGAGGAAGAACGACTTTAATTAGTGCAATTACTAAACATCTCTTGGACATAAGACATAGGGTCGATGGAATCTTTCATAGGTGTTGATTAACAGTCAAACATTGGTCTTCTGAAAATTGCTGAAGCCGTTACTACCAGGCATCGTCAACCTGATTCATGTATTCAAAAAGAGTTAGTTATTAATCTTTGCTTGCCTTGGGGACAAATATACCTTCGTAGCTTCTGAAAACATTTTCTAAACTCTCATGCATTTATTGCATTGCCGTTGTTTCTGGTCCTTTGACCTGTGTCACAATTAATGTTGTAGAATGTTCTTGTACATAAGGTATATAGGTCTTCAATTCGAATCTCGCAAGGCGGGATCGTGGATGCTCACTGTCATCGAGGCATCCCACATAAGGATGAAACGGCCGTCCAGTGCTTCCAGGTTTTCCATGGTGGTCTAGCTTCAGTTGACTCATGACTTCAATTATTAAATATTTAACTTAAGTTAAAACAAATTTATTGGATAGAGGGCTAAATAACTCTCAATACTGTTTATTGTATATAATAATAATTTTCACTAAAATGTCTGAAAATGTCGCAAGCATTTGAAATTGGACAACACCTTAACTAGTAACATCTTCTATGATCGAAACATTTCAACCCAGTGTAATCAGAAATCAGAAGCGAAGAGGTTTAAAGATAATATTTGATAGGCTATCGATATATCAAGAAGTGACTGATCTTAACTGGTTAGCGGTTGTAGAAGAAATTGAACACAGTTTACCCACTAGTCATCTGGTACGGATACGTGATCGAGCGCCTTCAGCTAGATGAATCCATTAGGACTAACATGGTCAGTATCAAATGTTGAAGACTAACAGAGCTATTGATTTCTGGGATTTATTTACCACTACATATTTCTATTGTCAATGTTAGTCATTAAAATCTTTATTCACAATCTAATTATGGGCTAAGTTTACCTAAGTCTTCGTTTTCATTTTTCTTCTTTTGTAGGATGAAGTAAATCAGGTACTTACTTTAAACGTTTGGATTGAACAGGTAAACAGGAAACTATTGTTATATCGAGAATTTTAAATGGTTAATGTCTAGTTTCCTTTTCTAATTGTGAAGAATGGAATTAAGCAGATTTAGTGGTAGCCAACTAGGTTATTCAAGATATAAGCTTTTCCCTATATGAGACTTGTTAATCAGATGTATGTGAATCTATCATTTGATGTATCAAGATGCCCAATCGACTACACTGTTGATATGTGACAAAATGAGCATTTTTCTTGGGGGGGGGGAGAGTTGCATTACTAGCCACTATTCTGATTTCCTGAAAACTAGTAACTAAATAGAAGGCGGCCTATGGTCCTCCAGAAGGGGTATGGGAGAGAGGTGAAAGAGGCCAAACCAAGAAGTGGTATGCGTCCTTGATGTCCTCAACTTTTGGACTAAGCTAGGTTATTAGGCGTGAACCATCTAGTTGGAGTCCTTAACAAATGGTTGAATAAGGTGTAAAATAAGTTGAGGAAGATTTATTTATAGATTATACGTGAAATAACTTATGACACTACTGGACTAGTTGGTTTCCTAAAAGAAAATTGAACTGTTAATCCACTGTTTGACTATAATTGGTATGTATTTTAATGAACTACTTACAAATTAATCATAAGTAAATCACTTGAAGTTATTCCAAAAAATAGCTATTTTGAATTTGAAAAATTAACCATTGGTTGTGTATTGATGGCGTCTAGCAATGGAACCCAGGACGCGCCTTCCGTCCTATTTAAGATTCTTCAACTAGGTATAACTGCATCCCAGAGTTAATGTTCTTTCCAGGTTTCGAACCTCGTACCGCTTAGCTTAAAGCACTATCATATCATTCACTTAAATACTAACTCCTGATAGCCACTATCTTGTACACATATGTCAATAAAAGAGTGATCAATTACAACCTTAAACATCAATAGGAAGATTCAACACAACTGATACCAAAATTTTGTTGTGTATGTTTGAATAGATATACATTGTCATAGTTGAAAGCGTAAGTCAATTGAAGCTAGACCATCATCGAAAACCTGGAAGCACTGAACGGCCATTTCGTTCTATTATGGGACTCCTCAGCATGGTGAACGGTTGCTCAAACTTCGTGGATCAGTTGAAGTTAGACATAAGCACAATCATATGCCGGCTCAGTGGTCTATCGGTCAAGGGCTCTGGCTCGAGACTGGTAGGTCCTGGGTTCGAACCTCGCGAGTGAGGGTTCGTGGATGTCCGCTGCTGAGGAGTCCCATAATATGACGAGACGGTCGTTCAGTGCTTCCAGGTTTTCCATGGTGGTCTAGCTTCAATTGACTCATGCTTCCAACTATGAAAATACTGAAATCTCCACATAACCCCTTCTGATAATTAAGATAAACATTTGTTTACATCTTAATGATAATAAATGACAAAATATCGTGCATGATGATGATGATGATACTTGATCTAATGCTATAAATGACCTATTGTAATAATAAATAAATGTTTGAATGATTGTAGGGTAATATGATTTTTGCTTCAAATATATAAGTGATATACATATATACATTGTCATTATGCCAATGTGTAAGAGTTCTCATTTATATTGATTTATTGTTACTGAGTGACCTTTAAGAAAAATTATTTTTAAAGCTGATTATATCTACTTGGATTTATTATTATTATCATTATATGATACATCCATGTGGGTCAGGGTAATTCTGTATTGATTTTCAAGAGAAACAGACATCATCCAGACTTTCACATGACAACCCAAACAGTACAGCTCAACTCCATTAAACAGGAGAACCAGACACCGACTTCTGATTTAACCTGAGCACTACAGCTCGATCTTGCCCCACAAGAAAACCAGACACTATATGGGCTTCAACAGCACAATCTGAATAGTATAGCTCAATCCTGTGGTGCAACCACACAGGTACCAAGCACCCTGGTGAACCATTCGCACCATTCATATACACATTCACATCACATATATAATTATTCAGACCAGTGATCGCGTAGACCAATTATGCACACAATGAACAGGCCCAAGTTGTCACATTCCGCTTACACGACAGTCAAATTCATTATTGTTAACAATGGCGACATTCCTTACAATGTTCCACTGACAATGGTCTTTGAGAACACTGAAAAGCAACCGCCAGTATGAATGAAATCGGTTAACCAGAAAACCAACTTTTCACATGAATAGTCAGCAAAACTTGCCAAAACAATGCTGAGCCATCCACAATATCAACCGCGAACCTCCAGTCTCACATTAGACGTTCAACTCTACATGGCAATATAGTTTATACTGCATACAACACAAATGTAAGGTAGTAAGCGAAATCGCCCAACCTGAAGCGTTAAGGCATAAAGAACGTTTAAAACCTATTGTCTGGTGTCGGAATACTAATACAACACAGCCAAGATCATTTTTATCGCATCTGCGAAATTTTAATTTTTCCGTCTTTCCAGACCCTGAGTTACGGGTAGTATCCCTTCCTATATGAATAATGTAGATGTTGTATCCCCTGGCGAATTATGAATCATAAATCTGATGTCCATTTATGGACAAATGTAATACGCCTATTCCTATTGGATAGTTGTTAAATGAGTAACCTAAATCTGATGTCTATTTATGGACATTACAATATGCCCATTCCCTATTGGATAGTTGTTAAATAAGTGACCTAATCGTTTCCGTGTTCCTCTTATCACAACCTTTGTTTTGACCTTGGAACTATTATTATTGATTACTTTCCCCCTAGCTACAGCCACATTGGCCAATTACTGTACAAATGTTATTTTTCTATTTTTTGGTATAATTGGGTCTGTTTGGTTAGTATATATAACCCAGTGTGCTTGTGAATAATGATTCATATTTCCGAGGCTGTTATTTGTGTTCTGGACTCAACTGGCTGGGCTAGGCAGTTAGGAAGGACCGAATAGCAATCAAGACTGCTCGTACGTATTTTCTGTATCATTGCACGTTTCATATACAATAACGAATTGTTATACGAGACATAACAGTAGATATAATACATAGTACATTTAGGTGGTGTTTTATTCTCTAAGCAAAATGATTTGGTCATGAAGCTTTCATTGTTCTTCTGAACAACATCATTAGCATAAACTTCAGTCGCACCTGAAGTTTATGCTTATGATGTGCTGATGATGACCAAACCATCCAGCTCAGGGAAAAAACTCGGCTTAAATCATCCATCTGAGCTACAAATCTTCTCTACCATCTCATAAAAAGTATATTGTTAAAGTAATTTCATTTGATTAGTACATTAAATTATTACATTAGGCTATATTGAGGCAATACGCACAGTATGCACATATGCAAATTAGAGTCTGACCAGTTGCAGTCCTAAAAACATCAATGGGAAGATCCAAACAAACAATACTAAGTAAATTTCAACTTCACCTCATTGCACAAGCAAGTGGCTATCAGGACTCAGTGGCCGAGTGGATAACGCGATGGCGTTTCAAGCGAGAGTTACTGGGTTCGAGTCCCAGAATGGACATCAACTCTGAGATGCAAGTACATCCAACTGACGAGTGCCAAATAGGTCGAAACGCGCGTCTTGGATTCCACTGCTAGCCCCTATCTATCTTTGCTTACCATTAGGTTTGTTGTTCAGTAGACTTTAACTCTAATGATAGCGATGACCTGGACGCATAAGCTTAAAAGAAACAATTGTAATTAAAATTTAAAGTGACAAATACAACTCTTTGACGGTTAGCCAGTTCCAACATTATTTCAAAATGATCTTGTTGGTAAGGGCAACTAATAAAAAAACAATTATTTAAGGATTTCTAATGAGAACTTCGCAGATGATCTGGCTCTTCTATCACAAACGCAACAACAAATGCAGGAGAAAACGACCAGTGTAGCAGCAGCCTCAGCAGCAATAGGTCTCAATATAAACAAAGGGAAAAGCGAGATTCTCCGATACAATAAAACATGCATCAATCGAATCACACTCGATAATGAAGCTTTGGAGGATGTACAAACTTTCACATATTTGGGCAGCATCATTGATGAACACGGTGGATCTGATGCAGACGTGAGGGCGAGGATCGGCAAAACAAGAGCAGCATATTTACAACTGAAAAACATCTGCAACTCAAAATAATTGTCAGCCAACACCAAGATCAGAATTTTCAACACAAATGTCAAGACAGTTCTACTGTATCTAGATAGCAGGAACAAGTAGTCCAGATGTTTAAGCAGGCTGCCCCCTTGAAGCAAGGATTATCAACCGATTACATCATAGAAGATAGGTATAGATAAGTTGTAAGTTAATTTCAGTATAACATTAGACGTTTCTCTAATGAGATCGCAATTATACTTTTTTACTTACTTACTTACTTACGCCTGTTACTCCCGATGTAGCATAGGCCACCGACCAGCATTCTCCAACCCACTCTGTCCTGAGCCTTCCTTTCTAGTTCTATCCAATTCTTGTTCATTCTTCTCATGTCTGTCTTTATTTCTCTGTGTTATGTGTTCTTTGATCTTCCTCTTCTCCATTGAACTTCAGGATTCCATATAAGGGCTTGCCTTATGACGTAGTTGGGTGCTTTTCGCAGTGTGTGTCCTATCTACTTCCAACGCTTCTTCCTGATTTCTTCATGCACTGCAATATTGTTTGTTTTCTCCCATCGTAGGTTGTCTCTCCTTCAAAAACGCTAACCAGAAAAAAAGTAACTTCAAAGATCTTTTTTTTCTTCTCTTTCTTCATAGGAATGGATTGATGAAAGACTTACATGGAATCCACAAGATTATAATAATCTTTCAAGAATAAGAATTCCTTGTCAAAAATTATGGTTACCAGATATTGTATTATATAATAGGTAAATGATTACATTATAGAAAGTCTATCAAGTTTCTATTTTAATCAATTTGTATAGTTACATTAATATTACGTCCTTGATCTGTCTAACCACTTACTTGCCGAGGGTAACTTGTCTAATGTATATTAAGAACATGACGCGATAGACTGATTGGCTTAACCTTGAGGCTAGGATGCGTGAGTTCGAAATGGGAGTAGAGAGACAAAAACTATTTTATCACTTGATTGGTTGACAAGCACGCATGCGAGAGAGAGAAGACAAGACAACTGGAACACTACTCGTTTTATTCCAAAATCCGATCTGGTACACGAATTCAGATTAGTGTAAAAAAGATACATGAATAATATAGATGACTAACTTGATCACAACGTACAATTATGTCCAAAACTGGAGGAATTAGAGTAGAAAATAAAGTACAAAATGTTACGTCTATATTACAATAGTTTTGGAGTAGAAAAATAGGCTACGGCAGTGAATCATACATCAAACGAAAGCTTAGAATCTGTAGAATAGATAAGGGGACAAAGGTAAATGTTACTGTTATACAAGCTTTGAATTAAATGAACTGATAACGTCCCCAAAAATACCTTCCGTAGTTTGTCAAGGATTCTTGTTTCGCTGTTCACATCGATTAATGATGATATCTGGATTCAAATCGAAAAACATAATTCATTGAATAACTAGTTCCATCAGAAATGTAATAGATTCATTTTAAAAAAAAATACTGGATGTTTGAAACTTCTCATTGTTGTTTAGAACAACAACTGATCAATCTCTTCAAACAAACAATACGGAATGAATTTAAATTTTACCCCATCGCACAAGCAAGTGGCTATCAGGACTCAGTAGCTGAGTGGAAAACGCTATGGCATTTGAAGCGAAAGGTACTGGGTTCGAGTTGTGGAGTGAACATCAACTCTGAGATCTAGGTACATCCAGTTGACGAGTGCCAAACAGGACGAAACGCGCATCCAACTGGATTCCACTGCTAGCCACTATCCATCTTTGCTTATAATGCTTGTGAAATAAGGCTATATCGAGGCAATACGCAAAGTATATGGCCAATAAGAGACTGACCAGTTACATTCCTAAACATCAATGGGAAGATTCAAACTGTAGTGCCGCGATTCGTTAATCGTTCGTTTCGATAACCGATATAATTCTAATCTTAACGGCGCGTAAAATCACAAGACAAAGGATAGCAGCAACTACAGTTTATTGTCGAATAATCGGCTGGTAATGCGGCGTCGAATACTTGATTTGTGTATAGACATTAAAGTAGGGGTCATCGTGAAACAAAAATTTCGGAAGTTCAGTTTAGGTTGTCGCTGAAAATGTAGGAAACGACGATTGCTGAGTACCGATGATATGAATGAACATTAGTTGTATATCGAGAACATAAGTTCCTACTATCGGGAGTATGACTCCAAACTTATGTCTATGATAGAGTGTAATGTTAGACCGAAAATGACATGAAAAAAATTGGAACGAACTCACTTGAATCAGGAAAATTGTACGTCATTGGATAATAAAAATAATCCAGTGAGTTTCGAATATCATAACGTGTAATGTCCATATCATTATAATTTGTTCGATTAGTGATATGACTGCGTAAATGTCATAGTTTAATGTCAATACGAACAAAAATAATAATTCCACATTAGATGATGATATGAAATTATTGTAATAATGAGCATATGATGATTATTCGAATCATAACAGAATATGTCGTCGACGGTTCCATATTTGGTTTGTGTTCGCTCGTTGCGGTCGCCAATTATGTAGTGAGTTCGTACGCAGAGGTTGTCCATTCTTGTCCGTGTTCGTTCGGCGAGGCACCCAATTCTGTTGCGTCATGCTCGTTCGGCGAGGTATCCAATTCTGTAGCGTCGTGCTCACCAGTTATGTAGTGGCCTAAATCTGATTCTGTCTATACTCGTATATAATAAATGACTTTATTCCGCGTTGGTGAACAACGTAGTTAAATACGTCAAATACGAGAATGGATTTAGAATACATATAATTTCTACACTCATTGGTCTGGCTAGGGAATCAGAGTGATGAGGCGAATAGATGAGAGCGGAACGAAGCAAAGATCATGCGCAATGGAGATTGGCTGGGAAGCCAACTCGAGAGCGAGGCGAAAGATGATACGTATTGGAGATGGCTGGGAAGCCAACTCGTGGGTGATGCAAAGTAATGCGTATTGGAGATTGGCTGTGAAGCCAACTCAATTTAAGCAAGCGTTAATCAACATTTATAGTCGGACAAAAATGAGTGACAGACATATGATGACTAAGATACGAAGTGTACACATATATGCTCATATAAAAGTATAGCCAAGGTTAATAAGCGAATGATTAACAAGATCAAAATATGACTCATGACAGGCGAATTGGCTTGGCCAGTAGCTAGGATAAAGTATATGGGCTTAACAAATAAACTGGTACTACAAAATGCTCATGTATGAATATAGGATTAGGGTTCAGATAAGTTTTTGATAGGTAATTATAAATTGGAAAGACAATAATCCAAACAAATATAGAAATTTTATAAACGAAGATGGATAGTGACTAGTAGTTGAATCAAGGATGCACATTTCGTCCTATTTGGGACTCGTCAGTCGGACGTACCGACATCTGAGTTGATATTCACTCTGAGACTCAAACCTAATACTGTTCGCCTTGTACGCCAACACGTTATCCACTTAGGCTATCAGGAATGAGTAACTAAGTGGATTACTGTTATACATTGAACTTAGATTCTTAGTATGCCGCGTAATACTTGAGCACTCGAACGCTAGAACCCTCCAAAGTTACAAAATGAGAAAATAGAAAACCAGTAAGTAAGAATTTTATTCCAAACAGTGTCAAATATAGTACAAAAATCTCATGTATTAATAGTTTTTGGTTGAAATTCAATCATCATTTCGGATAGCCAATAGGCATATAGGGGGTTCTTCTTGTCCAACGAGTAGGAGAACTACACGTCGACAATCTAGAACGTTCCTCTAGCGGTGATTGGATGGAATGTCTTCGGCTTTTTCTAGGCTTCTTGAGACTTCCCTAAGTTTGCCAACGAGCTATCCTTACAATAACATGATGACATTTTAAGTGAACGGTACTAGTTTCGAGTCCTAGATTGAACATCAACTCTCATATATGATCGAAACAATCCATATTTGAAACATTTAATCATATTATTTTCATTATTTTAGTGCAGATGATTATAAAACAGATTATATGCAAAGTAAAGCAATGGTACAATATAATGGTAATGTATTTTGGCCACCACCAGCTAAATTACGGTCAACTTGTAAAATTGATATAACTTATTTTCCATTTGATGATCAATCATGTACTATGAAATTTGGTTCATGGACATATGATGGTTGGCAAGTGAATGTAATTAAAAGGTTAGTTAATATATACACTTAATATTGTTTGTTTGAATCTTCCCATTGATGTTTTTGGGACTGTAACTGATCAGTCTCTAATTGGCACATGTGTATACTGTGCGTATTTTCTCAGTATAACCTTTGATCACAAGCATGGTAAGCAAAGACGGATAGTGGCTAGCAGTGGAATCCAGTTTGACGCGCGTTTCATTCTAATTGGGAGAGGTAGACTGACCAGTTGCAGTCCCAAAAACATCAATGAGAAGATTCAAACAAACAATATCAAGTGAATTTCATCTTCACTCCATTGCACAAGCAAGTGGTTATCAGAACTCAGTAGCTAATTGGATAACTCGATAGCGTTTGAAACGAACGGTACGGGGTTCGAGTTGTGGAGTGAACATCAACTCTGAGATGCGGGTACATCCAGCTGACGTGTCCCAAATCGGACGAAACGCGTGTCACCATGTTAGTGAATATATTTTTGTTTTAAAATTGATCTGTTTACGCTGAATATAAATGACTTAACAGTCATGATGTTTCAAGTTTAATGATAATCTTAGTTCATTGTTTCGGTTGTTTGGAACTTCCCATTAATGTATAAGACTACAATTGATCAGTCTCTCATTGACATATAGGCTTCCTGAGCGGATCGCCTTGATATTACCATTGAGTTACAAGAATTTACTGTGTTCAGAAACGGAAGGTAGCTAGCAGTGGAATTCAGGAGGAGCGTTTTGTCCTATTTGAGACTCTTTGATTGAATGTATCACATGAATAACATTCATTTCGGCACTCAAAACCAGTACCTTTCACTTCAAACTACATTACATAATCCAATTGGCTACCGAGTCCAGATAGCCACTGACTTCTGCAATGAAGTAAAGTTTAATTAGCGGCAATGTCAAAGCAATTCTTACTAGATGCACACAATCCAAACAAGACTAACCAATAAAAAGGAATTAAGCGTCACCGTATTAGATTAGTAATTTGCTATTTGGACTCAGTAGCTAACTGATTAATACAATGATGTTTGAGACGAACGGTACTGGATTTGAGTCCCTGGATGAATATCATCTCCGGTATGCAGATATATCTAACTGATGAAAAGCATATCCTAGATCCCACACTCTAACCAACATAAATATCTGCTAGTAAGGTTAACCATTATTATAAATTAAGACTAAATGATATGTTAACGGTAACGAAATAGATTTAGATTAACGTTCCGTGCCTTATAAATTATAATGTTGTAGCCTTGTGCCCCCTATTTATATATGTCGGTTAGTGTTAGGGTCAGGAGTTAGATTTAAGGTTTTCATCAATTGAAGCTGGATCACCATGGAAAACTTGCATACCCTGGACGGCCGTTTCGTCTTAGTGTGGGACTCTTCAGTAGTGACCAGTGGAGTACAAAAAGGTATGTTGTGAGATATCTACTCACTGAAGACAATGGTAGATGTGTCGCTCGAGGATTTCGTGGATTGGTTGAAGTTAGACATTAACACCGTTGGATGCCGATCGACTCAGTGCTCTTGAAAATAAGCGCTGGATCGTGGAAGTGCATTGATGAGAAGTCTCACAAAAGAACGAAACGGTCATCAAATGCTTTCATGTTTTTTATGGTAATCTAACTTCAATTGATTCATGAATTCAACTATTAAATTAGCTATAATTGCCAAAACTCTATTTAGACAATTGAGTGAATGAATTCCTCGCCAAAATCCAAGATCTCTTATCGTAAATCTGATTAGTTCCTCCATTAATTCTAGTCTCATCCATGTAACTATTGACATTAATATTCAGTTATATAGATTACGAATGAGATCAATATGGGATCACATTCCAAATTATACAACTATATATGAGTTTATATTCTATGTGAAATCAAAGGATAGATACACATTGAATAAGTCCTTACTTGAATATTGGTTAACAAACATCTACAATCAAATATAGCACAATGACCAATCTCACTAATTTTCATTGATGACAATTTAAGCTGAACAATCTAATACATAATTTCTAAAACTGATATAATCATAATGGAAGCTGATAGTTAACAACTAAGATCATTGTTGAATTCCATGTACCTGGTCAGCATCATTCATGAACAAGAAAGAACGAATTCAGACTTAAAGATAACGATTGGCGAATGGAAGGCATGTTTCCTACAGTTGAAGAATATATTTAACTCAAAACAACTGTATGTCAATTAATATCAAAGACAGAATCTTCAATAAGAATGTCAACACAGTTCTACTGTATAGAGATCAAACATGGAGAATTACCACAACCATAATCCAGAAGATAGAAACGTTTATAAACAGTTATCTACATAATATAATCAATGTTTTTCACCGGATATCATCCGTAATAGTGTAGTGAACAAAACACGACTGGTTAAAGGGACAATCGAATGTTTATGAGCAAACATTACAGACTATCTCAGTAAATTCTGATAACCATACAATGAACAGTTAATTTGTAAATTAACAACCAATTGTTTCAATCTTCATTGTTTCTTCTCTAATACCATTGTTCATGCATTTTCCAAACGATTGCGCTTCATTACAGTTCTTTCCTCATCGATCTTCTGCCAAAATACATTATATGTCTGACCCACACCATATACTACTTATATAAATATAAGTAGACAACACCACAATAGTTTACTTTAAGATAAAACAGACCAGGTTCCATCTGAAGACGATGGAAGTGTATAAGACACATACATTGAAAAAATTATCAAACTTTATCATGAGATAAGCCCTAACTTGAAATCGTGTAGGGAAACAGAAAAGTCGACAGTCAACGAACACACTACGTCGAGAATTAGAATCAGACATGAGAAAAAAAAGAATAGCAACTAGAAAAGTTTAGTCATGACAGTGTTGAATAAAGAATGCTGTTGGACAACCTATGCTCCTCGTCGAAGGTTCACGGGTGTATATAAGTAAGTAAGCAATGTTCAAGTAAAACTCAGTTATATCTTGGTTCATCTAAGCAATTATCCTTTCGTATTATTGTCACAAACAAATGAATGAGTCAGTAATTGTGAAGGGATAACCTAATCATTCACTGTTTATCGCTCTTAATGAATGAATTACTCCTTTGAACATAATTATCATTTATTATGACTTGATATGTTAGTTTTGATTGACTATCATGGCCTAATTGAGATTTCCCCCCCCCCTTTGTTCTATTCTATTTTAGACATGATGAAGTAGATACATCGAATTATGTTGAAAATGGTGAATGGGATCTACTTAAAGTTGTAGTAGAAAGACATGAGGTATTTTAATTAAATGTATTACTTTTATAGGTACTACAACTTTTTACATTCCATATCGAATCCAATTATTTAGATTAAATACATATGTACATAATCGAAGATTTTATACTTGAAATCATGAGTCAATTGAAGCTAGATCACCTTTTAAAACCTGAAAGCACTGGACGACAATTTCATCCAACCGTACGACTCCTTAGAAGTGAGTATCTGTAATCCCACCTCAAGAGATTCGAACCCAGGACCTATCAGTCTTACGCTCGAGTGCTTCATTTCTAGATTACTGAACCGATTGGAATCCAACGGTGTTAATGTCTAACATCAACTAATCCACAATTTTGATCAACCATCTCACCAATCGTCTTCAGTGAGTTGATATCTTACAACAAATATGGTTGAACTCCACTAGTCACTGCTTCTCACTGGAACTCAAGGAAATATCTCTTGAAGTCAGTCACTAGTGAGCATATGATTAGGTCTATATTGTTGATTATCAATGTAAAGATCGACTGATTGATTTTGAAGAGAATCAAGAAATGATTTCTTTTGATTCGTTATTTTCAACATTTTATCCACTTTAAGTTTGAAAGCTGCTCCCTCCGTGTCCCCTTTTAATAAAGTACCATCAAGCTTTCATAAACAAGTCAGTAAGCTTTTAAAGCGCATATGAATAGTGGCTAGCATTGGAATCCAGGATTCACGCTTCATCCTATTTGAGACTCGTCAGTTGAATGTACCTCTATCTCACAGTTGATGTCCACTTTGAGACTTGAACATAGTACCGTTCTCTTCAAACAACATCACATTATCCACTTAGCTACTGAGTTATGATGCGTGAAACTTTCCATTTCTTCCATAGTTTCTCCATCGAGTATGATTGTATTGGTGTTATCCGTGTTGTTTTCCGTATTCTTGAGGCTTACTGATGCAGAGGCTGATGCTACACTGATTGCCTTCATCTTCATTTGCTGATATATATATGCGTGGCCATGTGAGAGCATTTGGAGAGGGAGAGTGGACTCTCCCCACTCTTGGCCGTACCAGGACATTTGGGGGCATAGAAATAAGTGTAAATCCATTAAAGTGAGGCCCGACTCAGTACGATGTGTTTCACATTTGTTAATCACTATGTAGATGAAATAATTTTCTACACAAACCTACTGGTTTGAAACATAATTGAACCAACATAAGTCTATCACTTCATACCGTTATATGAATTCCTGTAAACATGTATTGAGATGAAACTTAGAAATTGTTAATTTCATTATATGGTTGAGATTATGAGTCGATTGAAACTAGACCACCATGGAAAACCTGGAAGCTTCATTTGACTAATGATATCAACTATATAAAATTACTTAAAATCTCCGCAAAACCGCTTTCTGATAATTTTATTATTAGTCAATTGAAACTAGACGATCATGGAAAATCTGGAAGCACTGGACGGCCGTTTCGTCCTATCATGAAACTCCTCAGAAGTGCGCATCCACGATCCCGCACTCGAGAGATTCCAACCCAGGACATAACTGTCTCGCACCAGAGCACTTCACCGACAGACCACTGAGCCGGCTGCCATCCAATAGTGTAAATGTCTAACTTCAACCAATCCACGATGTTTGAGCAACCTTCTACCAATTGCCTTCCGTGAGTTGATATCTCTACAGCAGACTTGTTTGAACTCCACTGGTCACTGCCGTCCAGTGCTTCTAGGTGTTTTCATGGTGGTATAGCTCCAATTGACTGATAATCTCATCTAAGAAAATACTGAAATCTCCGCAATTTCATAATGGTCTAATAATAACTACTTTTTTTTAATTTCCTATTCCCTATAGATATTTTATCCATGCTGTAATGAACCATATCCTGATTTACGTTTTACAATTTATATGCGACGACGTACACTTTATTATTTATTCAATATAATTTTTCCATGTTTATGGTTAACTGTATTAAGTTTAGTAAGTTTTTGGTTACCACCTGATTCTGGTGAAAAAATTACCCTTGGTATAACTGTACTATTAGCATTCAGTGTATTTATGTTATTAATTGCAGAGAATATGCCAGCTACAAGTGAATTTGTACCATTAATTGGTAAGTGATAAATTAGATATTGATGATAATTTAATGATGTTGAATTCAAACAAAAAATGACTAATACATTTTATACTACTTATTTCAATTGTCAGTAACTTAAATAAAACTGAGAAATATTTAACAAAAGACAAGCACATGAACGAAGAATATAATTTCCAATAAACTCTCTTCAAGTTCTACTATTACATATTCAAATTATTGATCCAAATAGTGGCTGGGTTTAAGACGAAATACTTCGTTTAAAATTTTAGCATAAGAATCTAGGATTGTTATTGTTGCGATAACTATTATGTAATGCTAACATGAATCAGACCATAATTTTGGTGAAAGTTTGAGATCAATGAGGCTAAATATGGGTCAGATAGGATGAGAGAAATAAAAGTACAAGTTAGAAGTCCATCAAATGTTTAATAGAAGACTAGGTTAACTAGTTAAGCAATCGCGCGTGAAACCGACAGGCCCTGCGTTCGAATCCTGTGAGAGTGATCGTAGATGAACACTGTTGAAGAGTCCCATATTAAAACGAAATGGCATTCAAGTGCTTCCAGATTTTCCAAGTGGCCTATCTTTGGTTGAATCATGAATTCAACTAATAAATTACAATTATATATGATGACAAAAAAAGCTTACCAGTACTTTTGTTAAACTAGGTCATTCTTTAATTAACTTTACTTAATATTGTTTGTTTGGACCATCGATGTGTTAGGACTGCAACTGGTCAGTCTCTAATCGGCATATGTGCAAACTCTGCGTATCGCTTCAATATAGCCTTAAATCACAAGCATGGTAAACAAAGATGGATAGTGACTACCAGTGAAATACAGTTTAACAAGCGTCTCGTCCTAATTGGGACTCGTCAGATGGATGTACCTGCATCGCAGAGTTGATGTTCACTTTGGGACTGGAACCCAGTACCTTTCTCTTCAAACGCTTCAAACGTCATCCACTCGGCCACTGTGTCCTGATAGCCACTATCCATCTTTGCTAACCAATCTTTAATCAAGATTTCAACTTATTAATTAGCCCTGAGATTGATCAAGTTAAGAGAAGCGGTTGAAAATATTTTCTTTTGCATAAATAGATGAGGCTCTTCAATACAAGTGGTTATTGCTTCTGTTGTTTGAAGGATGTTGAGTCTAACAGACTCTGGCAAAAATTACTGACCTGATCAATAATAACTATATAACCAGTTTGCACTAAATTAGTTAATATGGAGCTATTCACTTAACCTCTGCTTAGCCATGCTGAAAGGTGTTTGCAAGCATGAAAAGGTGAATACTCATAACTTCGACCGATATAACTTGCTCTATAACAGTGATTGAATTGATAAATACAAAATGAAATGATCATTCAAGGATATTCATCTGTTTATTGATCTTCGCTAACGTAAAGCTAGTGTCATTTAAGGTATTCACGTATGCAATCTGATATGGTGTGTTTAATCTAACAGGGAATCTTAGATTTTACTTCACTGGTGGAGATTCAAAAAGCATATTGTTTAGGCCTGGATACTGTAAGAGAAAAGAATGAAGAAGAAACGGTTGCTTAATTTCGTGGATTGGTTGATGTCAGGCATTAACACCATTGGATCCCAGCCGGCGCAGTGGTCTAGAGGCTAAGGGTTCACATGCGAAACCAATAGATCTTCGGTTGAAAGCTAGCGTGGGTACGCACTACTGAGGAGTCTCGTACTAGTACAAAACGGCCGTCTAGTGCCCCCATGCTTTCAATGATGATCTTAGCTTAGATCGATTGGTGAATTCAACAGTGAAAATACTACAATCTCTACAAATCCCCATACTCATTTAGCTATCAGACAATTATGAATATGAATATACAACATAAGTAAATGGTTTCATCGTGAAGTGAATTTCCTTCATTGAATTTTCTTTACTTTTACTGTAGTTTGTTTACACTGTACTTTCTTTTCTTTCAGGTGTTTACCTTACAGTTACCATGACAATGACGTCCTTATCAATTATATTAACTGTATTAGTTTTACATCTACATCATACTGGATCTAATCGACAAGCAATACCAAAATTTATAAGAAAAATATTTTTTGATTTTATTGCCAAATTTTTATGTTTAAATATTGTAAATAGATATGAAATAAAGCGTAATCAATTATTGAATATAATTAAACAATCCAAATTGATATTAGATCAAATTCAAAATGATCAGGATCATATAAATGATCCTAATGATTTAAACTTCAATAGTTGTCATAGCAACAATGATCAAAATTTTCCTCATTTTTATCATAATCTACCATCAGATAATTTAACTTCAAGTAAACGAATAGAAGAACAAATATCATCCATGAAATATACAAAAAACACCAATGAGCAACATTCATTCATGAATGAACAATATGAATCTATGAATAATAGATTAAGCTCAATAATTGAACCTAAAACTACCCATATTGTTCAACTAATCAATAAAGATGATCAACAATCAACTTCAAAAATGAATTCAGATCATAAATTAATTACTAAATATAAACAATATGAAATGTCTTATGATCATAGATCATATTATACAACAACAAGATCTACAGATGATTTAATAGATGATATAAATTTTTTAAATAAAAATTATACTACTCATAGTAGTATAAAATATTTAACTAAATTTAATAAAAATGAATTAAAATTTTTAGAAAAAAAATTACTAGAAATTTTAAAAAATACTGAAAAACAACAAAAAATTTTAAAAATTTATTTATTAAATTTATATAAAAAACAATATAATGAACAAACTATTATAGATATAATAAATGAATGGCGTATATTAGCTATAATTGTAGATCGTATGCTATTTTGGTTATTTTTATTTATTGCTATCATAGCAACTATTGTAATTTTATTAATTATGCCTTTATTTAAACCAACTTTTGCATAAAGAAAAACGAATAAAATAAACAAGGGATATGTAAATAATGGTTAGAGGTTCTTTGGTCTATATGAATGAGACACTAATTTGTGTATTTATATCTAGATACCTTATAAAAACAATTGGAACTCAAAAGAACTATCTGTCAAGATCAGAATTTTCAATACAAATGTCAACACAGTTCTACTGTATGGGGCGGAAACCTGGAGAACTACGAAGGCATCATCCAGAAGATACAAGTGTTGATTAACAGTTGTCTACGTAAAATATTTCGGATCGGTTGGTCAGATACTATCTATCAGTAACAACCTACTGTGGCAGACAACAAACCAGAATTCAGTGGAGAAAAAAATCAGGAAGAATCGTTGAAAGTGAATAGGACACACACCCAACTGTGTCACAAGACAAGCCCTCATCACTTGGAATCCTGAAGGCCGAAGGAGAAGAGGAAGACCAAAGAACACATTACGCCGAGAAATCCAGACGGACATGAGAAGAATGAACAAAAGTGTGATAGAATGAGAAAGTAAGGCCCAGAACAGAGTGGGTTGGAGAATGTTCCATTGGGAGTAACAGGCGTAGGGAATTACGAAAGTAACCTTCGAACTGTCTATTCTACAGGGATTTAACATGCAACTCAGATCATGAACATATGATTAGCTTGACTAGAATGTAAATATATTTCAACACGGAAAACCGACAACTATCAGGGTAATAATGAGTGTAAGAGAATATGTAATTTATCTAGTACCTATCAGATTGTCTACTAGCCTGACTAAACAAATGACCACATATCAAAATGGTAATGATTTGCATTTTTTGGTAATGATACCGTTTACTTTATTTTATTCAACCATTAATGATTACTAAATGATGTACGCTTTTCAGTTATTTCATATCATATGCTCACTAGTGACTGGCTCCTTGAGGTAATTCCTGGAGTTCTAGTGAGAAGTCGTGGCCAGTGGAGCTAATCCATGTCAGGTAGAGACAGGTATCTACCTCAGTACATTGGAAGTTGGTTGCGCAATTTCGTGGATTGGTTGAGGTTAGAGATTAACACCGTTGGATGCCAGCTCAGTGGTCTATCGGTTAAGGGCTCCGGCTCGAGACTGGTAGGTCCTGGGTTCGAATCTCGCGAGAGCGGGTTCGTGGATGCGCACTGCTGAGGAGTCCCATACTAGGACGAAACGGCCGTCCAGTGCTTCCAGGTTTTCGATGGTGGTCTAGCCTCAAATGACTCATGATCTTAACTATAAAAAAATTACTAAATCTCCACAAAAACCCCCCTTGTGATATTTCACTTTATCCTAATTTCTTTATATACACTCACTTACTTACGCCTGTTATTTCTCGTGGAGTAGCATAGGCAGCACGCCAGACTTCTGCATCCAGCCCTGTCCTAGGCAATTCTTTCCAGTTCTTTCCAGTTGCTACCCATCCTTTTCATATGTGCTTCTATTTCCCGGCGTAATACGTTCTTTGGCCTTCCTCTTCTCCACTTCCTTTCCGGAATACAAGTTAGGAATTGCCTCATGATAAAGTGTGGTGACTTCCTTAATGTATATCCTATCCACTTCCAAAGTCTTTTACATTATATATATTTAAGGTTCTATTCACCCATGAATACATAAATAAATATGCCTTGTCGGAAGGGGGGTTTGTGGAGATCTTAGTAATTTTAATAGCTGAAATCATGAATCAACTGGGGCTAGATGACCATGGAAAACCTGAAAGCATTGAATGGCTGTTTCATCCTATTGTGGGACCCCTTAGCAGTGTGCATCGAAGATCCTGTACTCAGAATCTAATTCCTGAATCTATCGGTCTCACGCGCGAATGCTTAATCCCTAGACCACTGAGCCGGCTGGCATCCTACAGTATCAATATCTAATTTCAACTAATCTACGAAATTGCGCCACCGTTCACCATTGTCTTCATTGAGTTACTATCTCACAAAAGATCTGGTCGAAAACCTATCAATATAAACATAAAATGTTAGAATATGAATCTTCTGCTGAATGTTGCATCTTTGTGATGTCATATTCAACTAATGTACAAAAATTGATTCAATCTCACAAAATCGGTTATATACATTCTTTATGACATACGTATCCTCCTACCCCCCCCCAAAAAAAAATTATTGATTATTACCAGTAAAAGAACATACCTCTTTCTCCACCCACCCCGAAAACGTTTTGATTATTACCGATAAAAGGATAAACTTTGTTTCTGTGTGTGATTCCTTCATAATGATCACTTCTTCTAAATATAATAATTCAATGATAGATTTGTCTGCTTTTAGATTTGAATAATTTACTTTATCAGAAGGGGTTTTGTGGAGATTTTAGTATTTTTATAGAGTTGAGATCATGAGTCAATTGAAGCTAGACTACCATGGAGAACCTGGAAGCACTGGACGGCCGTTTCGTCCTATTATGGGACTTACTTTACTTTATAAAGAATGATACAAATAATTCCTTTAAATTAACATTTTTAATACAAGAATAGAATAAAATCAACAGACCTCCGTTTGATGAAGACTTACACATAAAAGAATAGTGAAATAGTTAAGGTTTATCCAAGAATAGATTAATGTGAAACATCAATACAAGTTGTGTTTCATTGAATACCATCATAATGGATCGTATTCAATGTAAGTCTCTAACTTTGTATATTACTTTTCCTGATAACCATTATCAGATAACTCCATCAACTGTGTATAGAACAGAAGATGAATATGAAGCATTGATTACGTTCATTATGTCACCACACACACACAGATCACTAAAACCATAGGCACATGAAGCAAGAATGATATGTGAGTGCCGAAAAGCAAGCGAGCCAGTCAGTCCATGAACATGTACATATATATATATATACATAGGAGTTCTAGTGAGAATCTGTGATTAGTGGAGCTAATTTATGTCAGTTGTTTGGCAATTACACACCAGTGACAATTGAATATAGTTGATTATGTAAAGAAAACATTAGATTATTCAAATTTGATCGCTATTGAATGATCGCTGTCAAAAAATACATTCTGAATATTCTTGTATATTATTATCAACTTAAATATCCTTAGTGAATAACGGAATTAAATAGGTCAAATACGGGAATGGATTTTGAACATGTATATTTCATGCAGTCATTGATTTGGACAGGCACTCAGGGGGATGAAACGAAGACGGAAGAGTGAAGCAGATTGCAGAAGCAAAGAGAAGAGATTGAATCAAAATGACGTGCAGTGGAGAGGGCATATGATGAACCAACTTGATTTAATCAATATTTATAGTCATAGAAAAATAAGTATTTATTTAAACACATAAATATTGGTACAAGGAAGCACCAAATACATATGCGACACACAAATCTCATTGGATTTGTGTGAGGCCTGTGATACTGACCAGGTGCCCAGACCGAAGCAGATGGTTTTCTTAGGGAGCCACACCCGGAGTCTTTGACCTGAAGGTCTGGTCCACAAGACAATGGAGCATCGTGAGGTGATGCAGTCCCATGGTAGCCGGTGACCAACGATTGATTCATACGCCATTTGTTCCATCAGGATACTGAAGTCCATGTACACCATTGGTTTGGAATGAGGGTTTTCCAACTCTCCTAGGTGGATCCTCCATGTCCGCGCCGGACATTCATTTTTCGTCCTCTCGATTTCGTAAACAACATCCATGGTGCGAGAATGCAGTGAGTAGGACTTCTCTGGCGGAGGCTATATACGCGTGGTCATGTGAGAGCATTTGGAGAGGGAGAGCGGACTCTCCCCACTCTCGGCCGTACCAGAGCATTTGGGGGCACAAAAATAAGTTACAGACATGTGATGAGTAAGATAGACATTACTCATATAAGAACAGTTAAGATTAATAAGTTAACAATGAACAAGGTTAAAACGTGACTCAAGACAAATGAATAGTTCGGCCTGTCCGAAAGCTGGTATAAGTTATTTGAGCTCAACATAGTAACTAACACTATAAAATTTACATTGTACAGATGGTAATTAAAAAGACACATGTTGTCGGGATAAATTTGCACTTCTTTTAAGACAGTAATGTCTTATCATTTTGTTTTAATTCATATTGTCTATCCATCAAATATGGTGCCAAATAAACAGGTGTATGATATAAATATTAAATGAACAATTTTTAAAATGAATATGTTCAATCAATATAAATTACTCCTATTTCTGTCTTACTGGTTAGTACTTTTTTTTTAAAGTAAGGTCGCTTTCTATAGGATGACATTGCTAACCCGATGATCAACCCTCCTTCTTTACCCGGATTTGGAACAGGCGGTAGCCCTAGAAGAACTACAAGAGAAAGTGATTTCTGACTTAGTTAACAAATATTATCGATCGTATTTATAATAATGATAATGATGAATCAGTTGAAGTTAGAAATTAACACTGTTGGATGCCAGCTCAGTGGTCTATCGGTTAAGGGCTTCGGCTCGAAACTGGTAGGTCCTGGGTTCGAATCCCGCGAGAGTGGGTTCGTGGACGCGCACTGCTGAGGAGTCCCATAATAGGACGAAACGGCCGTCCAGTGCTCCCAGGTTTTCCATGGTAGTCTAGCTTCAATTGACTCATGATCTCAACTCTATACAATAAGTTTTATTAATTTGTAGTGTCATGCTTCGCTAATCGTTTACCCGGATAACCATTATAATTCCAATGTTAACGGTGTATAAAAATCAGAAGGCAAAGAGAAGCGGTAGCTACAGTTTTATTGACAAATGACGTAGGCCAGAAAGTTATAAGCATATAAGTAAATATCAGCAAGTGAAACAAAAATGACACGCAGTGGAGATGGTGGGTAAGTCAACTCATTTTAAGCAAGTGATCGACTGGATCATGAAGACATCAACATCTGGAGGAAATCATGGGATACAGTGGACAGGCAGGATGCAGCTTGACGATTTAAACTTCTCAGATGATAGGGTTCTTCTATCACACACGCAACAACAAATGCAGGAGAAAACGAACAGTGTAGCAGCAGCTTCAGCAACATTAGGT